GTTGTTGGTAGGTATAGTATCCAAATGCAGTCTGAATGTTTTCAATTTTGGTGAAGTTTGAGCTCAGTGTAAGAGCTGAAGGGGGGTTTGAAATGCGGTTTAGTCACTGATGTATGGACCTAACTTGTGGAGATTTTGGTCTGAACTAGTTTCCAGCTTACTAATTGATTTTCTTTTCATCATCTAAGACTGTTTGTTGGCTTACTCCAGCAGTACCAAACTTGCACCAAAAACATAAAAACTTATGGTTTATTGTGAGGGCATTTCCTGAAATCCAAGCCATATTGCTTTCAGCTGACTTTTGCTTTCAGATTTGTTTGGAACAAAGATTAGAATGTGAAATTCAGGCAGAGTACATTTGAGAGAACTGCTCCTAGTGTGAGCATAGTAGCTCAAAAACAAAGGAAGAACTGCACGAGAGGAAATGCCTTTTAAGTATGAAGATTAGTCTGTAGAAAAAGAACAATAAACTGCAAATAAGTAATATGCAAAACGTGATTCAAATGGTATTTGAAAAATTATATTATAATACCTACATAAATATAGACATTAAATTATATTATTAAAATTTGCTATCATCTACAGATTTTTGCCAACAAGAAAGCCCCAAAATCTAGAAAAATAGCATCATTATGCAAGTAAATGCAATTTTAATGTATTTCCAACTGCAAATCAGTTTGAGTTATACTGAAACAAAGTAGAGTGGCTCATTTTTTCTATGGAAGAATCAGCCCATGAGATAATACTACACTAATAAGACAAAGTGAAAGATCTTCTTGTGTGCTGACAAGGGAGAGGCAGAGCCAGAGCAGTTTGCAGCTGCCAGAATAAAGCTGTATCATTGCAACTGAGGCTTGTAACATTGATCCTCGTGCAGTGCTTTGTGCTGACTCCATTTCACATATGAAATCATCATGGCTGCTTCAAAAGACTAATTAAGTTGTGAGTTTCTTCCCTATCTTTTTCAATGTCTCTGGTTTTGGGGTTTTCTTCCCCCCAGTATATCTGTGCTAGCTTAACTTGAGAAGTTCCTAATGAGGGAAGAAAAGGAGGGTTTTATTATGAACTATGGATATTGATACAGTTATAGAAAACTCTATTATAGGAACACATTAGCCCTAGTAATAACTTCTCCTGTTTTAGTCACTATGCTTTTGCAATTATGATAATCAAGTTGGCAATTTAAACACTGTGGATCACTAATAAATAACAGTAAAGATTATAATTAATCAAATTATTTTCTTCCAGTTATCAAATTCCAATCAGTCATCAACTCCTAAGAATATTTTTGAAAGTTGATCTTGGGCCAGATTTAGAACAATTCTCATGAGCTTTTTAATTTTTAAATTTGACAAAATTACAAAATGCAAGAAGAGCAGATTCTCTGAAGGCAGGGTGCATACAACAGGGGCTTTCTAGAACATATTAGAAGAAATTGCATGTCATCCCAGCATTTAGTTTTACTATAATTCTCCCCAAATTCTAGTATTTTCATTCAAAGTATCAGCTCATATTACTGTATTCTTTGGGAGATATTTATAATCCAGCCAGGCAATTAGGCACAGCTGGATCACTCCTAATTGCCCTGGCCTAAAAGTTAATTTGTAAATGTGGGTAATTCACTCAGAAGGTCATGTGTAGGGCTGGGAGGGTTTGTCCAATCTGATTGTTTCAGAATTTTTAACCAGATTAGCAAATGTTCCCCAGCGAATGAGCAGTGTGATTCTCTAGTAAAAAAAAAAAAAAATTGCTGATGATAATGATAAAGGTGAGACAATAGACTGAAATTACTTTCAGTGAGATTGGACACAAACCACAGTGTAGAATACTGAATAAATGGCAGCTCAGAAGCACAGTGAGAGCAGTTCTGCAACAGTGTCAAACACACAGCCATCAACTCCAGACAAAGTGTTTCTGACTTGTAGGATGAAGGCTGTAGATGTCTCCTCTTCCCACACAGTGCCCCTTGCTTGGCTTTCTGTTTCTGGTTTTGTTTGTTTTGTTTTGGGTTGTTTTGGTTTTTATGTTTTTGGTTTTTTTGTTTTTGGGTTGGTTTTTTTTTGCTAGTGACTAAGCATTTAAATTGAATCAACTGTGGGAGAGGAGAGGATTGAAGGTAAAGTAGTGCTTTTTATTATTCAGGTTGTCGTTAATTGCTGTTTTCAGTTCACAACATTTAAATGAAATATTCACGCAATTGGGCCGGTTGTAATTCAATCAGAAACCCATCCAACTACCCTGAGGAATCCCATCAGGGCTCCTTACGCAGCAAGAAAGAATTTTAATTAGAAATTTGAAATAAGCTTTCCTCCAGTTTTGCCAGAAACAAAATGGGCTGGTGCTTAGTTCTTCCATTTGGGGAATTAAAGCCTTTGCAATAAAAATCAGCATTTAAAGGAACATGTAGAATTTGAGAGTATGATAAATGGGTCTATATTTGCACTTTCTGGTAATCCCAGTGAAGAATATGACTGTCTTGCAAACAGATTTTTAGGGCGTAAAGTACCCTACCACTTCTCCTCTATCTGTATTCTTAAAAGTTCTATCTTATACTAAAAAACGATGAATAATTTAGTTGCAAAAAGCTATCTGAAAATGCAGCTACTAAAAAATAGGAGGTAGAGAGCATTTTGAATGGCAAATTACTATAGAGGCATTTTAAATAAGTCACATGGTATTAGCCATGAGAGGTGTTTTGAATTGTTAGAAGAATTGCAGTAAGATGCTTGCTCCAACCACAGGGTAACAGGTGTAGCAACACGATCAGTTCCTATCATTCAGAAATCATGATTTCTTAAACCAGCCAGTAATTTCGAGGTGAATGTGTCAATTCCAATAATTTAGGGGAGGATAGCAGTGGGAAGTTACTTGACTCTGCCTTAGGTTGCTGGAGAGTAAGTCAATTAGGAAATCTAATCTTTGCAATTTTTTAGCTGCAGTCCAGTTCTGGTAGCTGTGTAGTATTTGGCCTCTATGGTAAATGTGAGAACAGCAGCTCACAGTTCTCACTGAGAGTGAGAACTCACAGTCACTGGGTGAGTGTAGTGAGGTGGGGGATTTGGAGTTCTATTCCTTTGGTCTCTGTTGTTTGATTGATTTCTGTGGTTTGGCTGGGGTTTTGTGCATGTTTTGCATGTTAGGGGGTTCTGGGTGTATTTTGGGTTGTGGGATTTTTGCTGGGTGGTTTGTTTCTTTTCTTTTTCTTGTTTGCTGGGGTTTAAGCTGGCATTTAGGTTTTGTTTGTTTGGGGGGTAAAAATTTTGGTTTGGTTTGGTGGGTTTTTTGCTCTTGCTTAACTTTTTTAACAGAGTTTAATATAGTTGCCTCCCCTTAAGCAGCTTTTCCTTTTGCCTTCTGACCCTATGTCCATGCCTTGTTTCTCTTCTGCTAGTCTTTACTTAAAAACTCCTCTCAAAAAATACAGGGCTGGACACAGAAGTCTTTCCCCTAGCATGAAATGTAGGGGCCTAAAACTGACACTTAGAAATGTGGCCCAGCTCATTTTGACATGGTTTTCCTAGTTTTTCTACCCTGGAAAGATAGTGCTTTTTGTTTGTATCATTTGCATTTAATTAGAGGGACAAGCACCGTGAGATTATTTCGGAGACCTCCCAAGGCTGTTTGCTCAAGGCTGTTCAGTTTGCCAGTGGCATCCAGGATTTGCATCTCCCTGTTCTGCACCTACACCAAATCCTGCATCTATTGCTTCAGCCCCTTGGGAAGGGCAGGTGGGAGGGAAGAATACTGGGAGAGAATACTGGGAATGCTGGGAGAGAAGAATACAGGACTGTAGGCAGCATCCTTGGCTTAGCTAAACTGGCAGCAGCTGCTTTGACTGGACTTACACCACCAGCTGATGATCTATGATATTTGGATGTGTCTACTAAGAAATTCCCTGCTGTCCCATCCCTACCCCTTAGACAAGTGTCTTTGTGCTCCAGAACTGTAAAGTGCACAAAACCAAGCTTCCACTTTCAGTGTTTTCATTCTGCTGCTTAAAATCCCTAGAGCTCAGGCAGGGGTAAGATGACCCTGATTATATATGCAGGGTGAGTCTGAACGTACAGACAAAATAGAAAAGGTTGCAGTGTTATTTAGTTCACTATAAGTAAGGGCTCGGTCATAAGTATTTCTGCTGCATTTTTGGCATTTTTTCCCCTTCTCCATGCATTCTAAGACTCGGGATATATGTCTTAATGAAAGTCAGGAGCAAGGTTTTATATTAAAGCATGAGTTACATCTTATTTTCATATGAGGAAAGAGGATTTTCTAGTACAAATGGATAATAAATTTTGTTATATATGACATAAAATTTTTTCCTGACTAAAAGTATTCTCATTTCACAAGGATTATGCAATTTGGGTTTGCATGGAAACAATATTAGCTAGAAAACAGTTAATCTCTTGACATAGGAAACTAATGTGTTTTTATGGCAAAAGCATTTATTAAGAGAATAAATTTTCCTTCAGGGCCATCTCACTGATTTTACAACCAGTTTCACATTTAATTCCAGCTCTTTGGAGCATGATATCTCAGATATTTCATGCAAATGATTTCAAAATGTTTAGTAAGTTGTGCTTGCAAATCAGCCTGTTTAGTTCACCTGATTTCAATAAGACTTATGATCATGTTTAAACTGTAGTTAAAGGATTCCATTCTTTACAGCACTCTGAACTAGAGCAGGTGCCCCAGTTCAGTGTGCAGAGGAGAAGATCAGGTTTAATTCACTATTATATTCCAAAGGTTAGTTTTAATTTACAAGAGCAAAGTGATTTTAATGAAAAGGGGAAGGTTTATTTAAACAAAAGCTCTTACTTTAAAAAGGGTTCAGGCATTATAATCCCAAGAGAGTTCTACTTAAAAGTTCTTGAGGAAATAATGAAGAGAAGAACAAAAGGTTGAGAGTTTAAGGAAATCTGCTGAAACTGAGCAGTCAGTAGAAGAAAAGAAGTTCTAGTCATGGAAATGGAAGTTCTTTACCTGTTCTCCCTTGGCTGAGGACCTCTTTGGCTGTTTTTTTTTGCCAGTCATCTTTGTGTTCCCTGCAGGGGCTCTCTAGATTGTGTAGAACAGGAATTGAATGAGCACAGTCTGCCATCAGTCAGCCCCTGTCAAATATACTGGTGATTTAGGAAAAAAATAATCCTTACAAATGATCTCTGACTGAGGGAATTCAACACTCAGCTAAAAAAAAACAAAACAAAACAAAAAACAACAACAAAAAAAAACCCCCAGCAACAAAAATAACCCAACTCACAAACTCACATCACTCTGAAACTAGCATCTGTCTTTTTTCCTTAACCTTTTTAGCTACAGTAGGAAATGGTTGCACACAATGTTACAGTTAGAAACACTGTAGCTCCCACGGGTATCTATCAATTTGCTCTCCATCCTCAAGACATCAATGTTTTTTTTTCCCCTACAAAAGGGATAAATTCAAAGTTTAGCCTATATTTTAAGCTACATGATATAACTACAAAAGAGGTAAACATAATTGCTTCTCTTGGATCACTGCTTATCTTCAGATAATGCGATGGGACAAGTACTTTATATTCAGAGAAAATGCCATTTGAAGTCTCTATCAACATACTGATTCTGGACTGGACATTAGCTGCAGTAGCAAAAACATCTTTTAGGCTGAATATGAAATCTTTTCTCCTGTCTGCTTATGGAGGGAGTGGGTTGTCAGTTCATACTTTCCTCAATATGTGCAAAGTAATAATAGTGATATGCCTAGAGATTATCATAGAGAGTTTTCTTTGACAGCTGGGAGCAGCTGCTCTATAAGCAAAGGAGATGCAGAAACAAGGCTGTGCAGCCAGGCCAGTGCACATTGTGTGCTCCCTGGAGAAACTAATCTCTTCTGCTGCTTCCCATTGCTCAGCTTACCCAGCAGGTCTCAGGCCATGTCTAATTACCTTTCCTACCTCTCACTCAGTCCAAAGAGGCATTATTATATCAGACAAAATATGCATCCTATTTCTCTGTCAGTCATGAATTACTTCTCCCTTTCCCCTTCCACCTGAGCTTTTACCAAATCTGTTTTTTCAGCTGTACCTTATTTGACTCACAACTTTATATGGGAATGCACGTTTCCAGCTCACTGAAGTGGCCTTTCAGGTTTCCTGATGCTTTTTTATAACTTTTAGAATACATTTACAATTTAAGCTTCTGTTATTTCTTGCTACTTTATCTGTTTATTTGTCTAAGCTTTTTTTCCTCTCCTGGTTTTCTGCCACTGNTCTCTTGGAACTGTGCTATTTACATGTGGCCTGCATAGGTGTACACAAACCACAGCACTTAGGAAACATGATGAGTAGGTCTCCAAGTCAATCTAAACAATGCTAATTGTTATTTTCTGGTTAATTGTAGTTACTAAACCCACTCACCTGTGCAAAACAGTGTTCTTGCTCTTTCCAAGATACTTGTTTGAGAAGTCTCTGATGTGGAGCACAGCACAAGGCTGGGATAACTGGGTTTTGAGCTCTTGAGCCACAAAAGCTAATCTAGTTACTGCTTCTATACAAACCTGCAGTTTTTTCCTGTGAGTGAAGTATTTACCCAGGAGAGAGCACCTCTTTGCATGTCAACTGCTTGGAATCGTTCTGGCACTTGGCCTGGGCCACCTTTCATCACCGTGAATTCTAAGCTGGCAAATCCGAAACTTTACAAACAGGAATAAAAAGTTCTGTCATTGTCATTGGAAATGAATGGTCATTATTCTTTTCCTTTAGAATTTCAGAGCTACCTTCAGTATTCTGTTTTAGTTGTAGTGGGGAGAGAAGTCAGTAAGGAGAATCATGAAGGAAGTGGAATGAAAATAATTATATGATTTCAAAGAGCCATTGGCCCTATAAAGATTTTGCTCTGAGTTACTACCAGGAGGCAAAATCCATAATGTATAATAGAAATATCAGATTTCCCAGATAGGAATATCTCCTATCTTCTCCATATTCAATGTTTTCTGAAAAATGAAAAGTGAACATGCTTATAATAAAATTTTTAGGACGTGAGCTTCCTTTTCCTGAAGCCAATTGTCCTCAATAAAATCAAAAAGCTAGATGTTGTTGGTTTCTAGCACATTTTTAATACAGTCTGATTAGTGCTCAGTGTTTCTTGAGTACTAGAATGTTTTAGTCCAAGGAGAGGAAGATCATGCATGCCAGTTTCATGCATACTTGCATGTATGACAGCTTTGGCTCAGCAGCTGTTCAGTTTCTATTTTGCATATTATTGTATTGACAAGTCCTGTGGATGACAATTCTGTTCTTTTAGTTCTTTCCTAAAAATATTGTCTCGGAGACAGGGACTCTATCTTGCCAGTCACAGAAGAGTGGGGAATGTTCACTGACTTGGGAAATTTCAGAAATTTCTGTAAACGTATACTTTTCACTTATCTTAATATTCAAGGAGTGTTTTAAAGTGATCTAATTGATGAGAATTAAATTGATGATGGATAGCTGTTCTTTAAGCTACAGTTGCTTTCAAAAAGGATGCTGTGAACTGAGATCTTGAATAATCCCATGAAAGGAAGGGAAATCAAGATAAACAGGTTAAGGTAAGGAGACTCTTTTCTAGATGGATGCTTATCCCCATTGAGGCCAAAGGTGGTTAAAATAGCATGTGACACCAAAGATATTGAAGAACAGGTAGTGGAGACCCATTCTTGTTCTGGCAGTACCTAGAGGGAAGCAAATTAGTAAAACTTTAGAAGGGGATGTAGATATGAAGTTTGTATGTTATCTAAACTTTAAAAAACAGTTGCTTCTTTCCTCATTTCAAAGGGCCGACCCTTCAGCTGTTGTAAGATTATTTTTTAAAACAAAGTAGAGAGAATTAAGGCAAATTATGAAGTTCTGCCTTTTGTTCTAAATTGTTCTAAATGACAGCAACATTATCTTACTAGCAGATACTTTGATTCATTTAAATATTACTTCCTAGTGGAGTAGCCTGGAACTCTAGCCCAGCTTTTTTTGTGTGTTTCTGGTTACTGGCTGTTGGTGTTATTGATTAACCATTAAGATAAGGACATTCATGGGTAAATTCACAAAGCACGGGGAGAGCTGGGACAGGCAGTGCTGACATGGAAATCTCTTCGAGGAAATAAAATTGAGATGTATTGTGACATAGAAAATATATAGAAACATGCATGATATAGAAACCTCCCTTTGGAGGAGAATACAAAGACTTTTCAGGGCATATTCCTCTCCTTTCCTGTCTCAATTGGTTATCTGTCCCTTGATGCAAAGTAAACTCAGGGGGGACTTCCATTAATATGTGTTGCTGAAATAAGCAATTGTTGGAGCAAACAGCTGTCTTTTCACATGCTTGAAGGTAGTATTTTAAGTCCTTATTTATGTATTACAAACAAAATGCCCACAACAAGATTTAGGGAACTAATTTCTTTTTCATCTGAGACTTCTTCAAACTACCTGCTTTTTATTATTTCCCAAAAAGCTTGATTATAAAGTAAATTTGATAGGCACTTGACAGCACTGTTTGGATCTTCCTCTGCACTAAGATGCATTTGCTGCCACAGTTTCCTGCTCTGGAAAGAAGAGTCAATTACAGAAGGAAATTAGAAGCTGACATAAAGGTCAGAGAGTAGGTGAACAAGGGAAGGGAAGTTCTGTAATTACACAGCTATTGCAATTAAGGTCTGATCGTCCTTCTTCTATGGGTCATAGGATCTGTGGCAGTTTTGATAAATGTTTTAACTTTTATAACAGATCTATCAAGGATAGCAGTGGCAGAGGAAAAAGTTCTTTTTACAAAATCACTTACAAGAAATGAGCAAAAAAAAGTTCCTCCAGCTTCCTTAACGTTGTCGAATCTGGGTAATTCTACTGCCACTTTCACTCACAAAAGTTCTTGTTCTAGCTCCACAAATATTTGCCAAACTAACAAATCTATTATATTTCATTAATTATATTTTAATTTTGCCAAAATCTATATATATTTACTGTCAAATTTGACAGAAGATTTAAAGTTTCAGATTTCAGCATAAGTAACCTTTGATTTAGGATGCAAAATCATGACAGAATATATCATACTGTATTTCACCTAGGACAGATTTAATGAAGATTGAAGCCTATTGAAATTCTAAGCATACTTCATATTCAAAATCCCCATATTTTAAGAGTTTGCTGTGTAAAACATTCTCTGAGTTCAAAGCAAAGCACTGGTTTTGTTCCATTTGGAAGCAGGTAAAGTCACATCAAAAGAGAAAATTGCTGTGATGGCAAACAAGGCAGTGAGACCAAAAGCCTAAACAATAAAAAGGAGTTTACAATAACAGTAATCTTATACTATTAGAATGGTCATAATAACCCTCTGTATTAACCCCCTAATTTTCGTATTACTACTGAAAGAAAAAAGTTGCTGGATCACATAAGGAATTATGTTTTTGCATTACTGCAAAGCTCCCAGCTGAAACTGAACTCTGGAGTTCTTTCTGAACGACAAAAAGAAGCAAGGGGCAGGAAAAAAGAGATTACAGCTAAACAAGTCCTCTATTTTCCTTAGAGTTGAACAGAATAATCTGAGCATTTTTGTAATAGCTGTACTCACTGTTGCAGGATTGGTGAGTGGAAGATCACCTCCTTGCAGCATCAGAGGAAACTACAATACAACAAATTCTAGGTCTGGATGGATGCAAATCAGTTAACCAATAAAAAGTAAAGTAAATCCTGTCAAGCCCAGATAAAGCATGGGGTCTCCTTTAAGAACAATTAAGGAAAGGATCCTGACTACAAGGACAGAGAGGGCAAAGAGTGGTTGCAATACCATATTTTTTCCTTAGGCATCAGAAAGCAGAGTCAGTAGAAAAGTTATAAAATGAAACCAGAAAGCCTTCAGAAAACAAGGAGGAAAGATAATGGCTACTTTGAATAAGTAGATAAGATTCCTGAACATAGAAACAAAGTACAACCAAAGACTTTGTACAGCTTTGTACAACTCAACTTCTCCCCCAAAGAAAAACCTTACAGAACAGGAGAAGTTGGACCCATAAGAGCATAAACTTGGAGGAGGAACCCATCCGAAATCCTTTGCTGTCTCCAGGAAAAAATGTTTTAGGCAAATAAGAATTTAGGACAAGTGCAGAGTCAATTGCCTGACTATACTGGTCAAGTCCATTTTCTATACATCTCCTGTGGCTGACAGCAGATCACAATTCAAGAAACAGCACTTCATAAATAATGTATGACTTTAGGAATATTACCATCATCCTTAACCTACATTTTTCATATAGTTCTCCACTAATGTATTTACACATGTACTGTAAGAAGAAATAATGAAGAATAACTCCTATAGCCTTATAAGACTGTCATTTCAAGTGAGTATGTGTAAAAGTAATCGGGTATAATAGTTTTGGGAAAACAAAATAGGTTTTTGGATTGGTTGTTATTTCCTTCCACTTTTTAGCATGTCTTTACATGCTATAGCACAAGCAAAATACTTAATTCATCCTCATCTGTATGAACTATTATACTTACATCTGTCTTGTACAGTGATACAGAAGAAAAATGTTTCCTACATAAGAAATATATTAGACATATAAGAAAGATCCTTCCTTTGACCTATAAGCATTCATAAGATGCACACTTAACACATATAAGAATAATCTCTCCTGAAACTTAGTCATTACTTTCAAATATTATTTAGTCAGAAATTATGGACCATCCACCAGAACAATCTAGATGCATCGACTTTGCCAAGGAGCCTTGAGACTGATCATTTAAATCCTGGAATCTCTTTCAAAATTGTACAATCCTCCGTGGAAGAGTGCATGAGATTTTTTGTATGTTTGCTTATAAAGAGTGCTATCCTCCAAAGCAGAGTCTCCAAGCTGCTTAAACCCAAGTGCCCCAATTCCCTGAAGCAAAGCCTGACAAGTGCATTTTCCCCACACCTTGTGCAGAAGTCAGCAGAAAGCAGAGGGGGAGTGCTCATCTCCATGAGCAGTTACCATTTTAAATTCCAATGCACGGAAGAGCTAAAAAGCACTTTACAGCTCATTCAGAAGTTCAGCTGTCAGGTCTGTGGAGACTCTTCCTTATTGTAACATCTTGGTGGTTTTCTTCTTTGACAGGTAGCACACAGTATCTAAAAGCCTCTCTCTTGCCATCAGTCTAGCATGTGTGTCCCTAGAGTCCTGTCCCCTCGGCTTGCTAAAGCCCTCAGACGGCAGCAGAGGAGGGGAGATGAAATAAACCCAGTGCGTGATAAAGCCAGGGGCAGGAGGAGGGCACCTTCTGTCAGCAGAGCCTGCAGAGTGCTCCAGCACGAGCTCAAACTGGGCAGCAACACAGGAAACAAACCCCATTTCACTCAGACTCATGGAGACAGGAACAGCTGCAAACACCTCAGAGACAGTGTTGGCTGTAAAAATTAAATTGGGCTCTAGGGGACAGATGAGAATTGGACCAAAAGGAATTTGTGACCCAAAATCTTGGATAAAAGCAAAAAAACAGGGCAGAATAATTCTTCACAGGACTGCCCCCTCTCCCCAGCACACACATGGACACATGCAAAGACATCTGAGTTATGCAGTGAAGAATTAGAGGGGAGTTTCAGCACCAGATTAGCAAGATCATATCCCACTGCTGCTATAGACAGATAAACTCACTGTAAGGAGGACGTGGAGGCATGAGAGAAAGTGCTACAAAGGCACAGCTGAAATCACATCTAGTGAATAGGTTAGATTTCCTGGGGGAGTCAGTCAGATATTTTTCCTTCTGTGTTGGAACAGAACAATTTCTGCAGAAAGTTCTAATACTACATTTTACTATTCATCTTGGCCATGATACCTCAGCCGCCCAATTTGTCAATAAGATATTAAACAAAGCATCATTTCTACACCAGAAGATTACAGATTAACTAGGTACCAAGTACTTTCTCTAGTTCCCTAGCACCTACATCAACATAGTGCAACCTGTGGTAAATACATAGCTCCTCATTTTAGATATATCCTTTTCCAAGAGTTAACTTTGAAAAGAAGTTCTGAATTACTACATAGTCAGATGAAATACGTATTTAAATAAAAAGCGTCTTGCCTATGGATGGGTTAGTATTCAGAGACACACATGGAGCATGACAGTTGTGATCATTGGGCTTTTTCACTCCATCACACTCTCTCAAACTCCCACAGCCCCTTACCTGTATTTAACTTTAACTTTGAAGTATGACAACCTTATTTCAAACTTTAAAGCACCGACCCTGTGCAATTAGAAGTGGTTAAACAGCGTTGATTACTTTGCTGGCTCAGGACCAGAGAGTCACTTCTCATCCCAGCTGAGTACAGACTAGCACAGTTCTTCAGCTCTGTAATTTCAATTAAGATTTATAGATATTAGTGACAATAGGAATAGGATGAGGGAACAAAAGTACTCCAACTGCTTTGGGAGCCTCTTAACCAAGCTTCAAATATACCCAGGATCACATAAAAGCGTATAATTTACTGATTAAATGAATTTTCAGACATGGTGCTAAATTCTCATTAAAAAAAAAAAGCTTCCAGAGAGGAGGCACTGGAAATACTTTATGCTCTGCAGAGGTGGGACACCTGCTGAGGTCTGTCCAAAGCACACTTAGCCTTACCAGGAATCAAGCTGCTTTGTACGGTGATATTGACAGTCCTCCAGTTTTAGATGGGAGTGGGATATATTCCATCAAAAGTTTGAAATTTCAATCCATAGAAAACACGTGCTTGATCCTGACTATGGTGTATTAACAATAAAAATTTTCCATGAGTAATACAAGGGTAGATTTCTATATTGAATTAATAAATTCAAAAGAGAAGAAGAAATGTGAAGCAAAAATATTTTGTTCTTTGGTTAGAAGTAATATCATTGTGCATCCAAGTGTTCCAATGGGGGAGCACAGCAGAACAGACAGGTGCAGTTGAGGCAACTGCAATATTTGATTAATACTGCAATTCTAAATGAATGAAACAATAAAAATTATTAAATTAGTTTCTGTGGATGAGGAGCCAGCAAAAATAAAGTACAAACACAGTTTTATGAATGCTGGCAAGAACCCATAACTTGTACATTTCCAGCTGTTCATGGATGTGATAGCACAAATCTGTGATGAGGTCTACCACAAATAAATGTAGTGAAGCTCATCCTGCATTAAAAAAAGAAGAAAAAAATCCCTCTGAAAAGAAGGAGTATAAGGAGACTGATGCACATTCTTGAGAGTAATGTCTAGCATGCTATGAAAATATGAAAGCAGACAGGGCACTGGTCAATGAGTAAATGTTACACAAAGGGAAAAGAGGAGGGTGAAAGCGTGAGAAATGTGAGCACTACAGCAACCACGTTGTGCAGAGGCAGGGCAATAGAGGAGGAATGATGTTACATGTCTGACTGCACCTTGGACACACTCAGTCTGTCTGGAGCACACCCACCAGGGGAGCCACAGCCAGAGCTTCTGTGCCTCCCTCGCCTGCTCCATTTGTCACATGTAAAATCTGGCCAGCAAGATGGTACACACACCATGTTTAAACCTCTGTCTGTGGGAACCTGTAATGTTACCTGAGCAAAACTTCAGCTTCCATTCAAAGACAGTTTTTTCAATGATCAAAAGGATCCTTACCTTCTGGTTGTTATCTTAACAAAAAGGGTCTTTATACAAAATTGCATTCAGAAACTCCTTCTGATGACAATTTGGATAAGATCTCCTGGCTTCCACCTGGGTTGAGTCAGACAGACACTTCCTATTCTTGTATTTCCTTATCAGCTTCAATTTGCTCATAACCTGTTCCCCTACTGTCTTGCATTTTAGTCACCATTTTTAGTCACTAGGATCCCTCCAGCGTGGGGTTTCCTGTAGAAGTGATGCAAAGTCAGGAAAGGCTGTTGCAAATCAATACTTTTCCTGTTATTTTCTAGAACCTTGCTATCCATTTCCTTGTGATTTTCTACCATAATTCCTGTCTGCCAACCGGATGAGAATGAGATACCCAAACATGGTCCTGTTTAACTTAATACATTATAATATAATTCAATTTCCCTGTAGAGTAACACATCAAACCTGCAGGCAGCAGGGCAGAGCGCAGGTTTCTGCATATTCTGAAGAAAATAAGCATTTAAACTTGCAAGTGTTAAGCATATCAAAATTCTCTTCCCTACAATGTTGTTAGAACCCATCCACCTTAGTTGCATTTGCTTGGGGAAGGAGATGTTACTTTGTCAAGCTTAACAAAACTCTGTGCTTTCTCAGCTGGGGCTCTTAAAAGGAGGCATTAAATGGATTTTGGCATGTAGGGTTTTATGAAGAGTGGCTCTCTTTGCAATCCCATTTAGCACACATCAGTTGTTCTGAATGCCACTGGGATTATACTGACTTCTAGAAGTGTTTCAATAGGAACTGTATGATTTTCTGTAGCAGAGTAACTGAAGGAAAAATTCACTTTTTTTGTGTGTGGAGGAACCACACAAAACAAAAACAAAACAACAACAACAATTTAAGTTATTCACAACAACAACAACAACAAAAAAAGAGATAAGAAATACTAAAATATAGAAAAAGTTACAAAGAAATAAATGCCAGAGAACATACCATTCACTGTGTCATTTGCTGATGTCCAAATCTTACAACTTTTATGGGCAAAACCAAAATCACTCCTCTTCCATTCACAAATTGTGGTCAGCTGTTACCCTCTGGAGATATTGCATCTGTAAACAAATGAAGTATTCAATATTCAAAGAAAGAGCAACAAATCTGTGCAAACTTTGCATTTCTTGGTGAAGAAAGTTGTTTTTTAGACAACTAGCTGCAGGAAACTGCATTAGAATAAGAGTGACCAAGACTACAAAAAGTCTTTTGAAGAAATAAAGGAACAGCACAAATACTTCAGTACTAAAATCTGAAAGAGTACAACCCAGAAAAAAGGCTGATCTTTAAACAGCAGAGGAACAGCATCACTGGAGTGGCTGCTAGCATCTGCTATCTATATCCTGCTAGAAACAGAATTAAAATTATTAATCAGAGTGAGAATCTGTGCAAACTGGAAATAGACCTTATATCAGTACCATTTAGGAGAAGCATTTAACCAGAAACTTATGGCTGAATTAAAGAAAAATACTTTTTAAAAAAGCAAACCATTGAGAACAAGATTAACTCCCTTCTCTGTTTAGAGGCTTCAAAGACCATGAAATGGATGCTCTTGTACAGAGTGCAATATGAAGCAGGGACCACTGCTGTTCAAAGAAAAACATGTATTGATTAGCTGCTATTTTCTGTACAAGATACAAGCTTTTGGTTTACCTAGCTTGGTATCCTATAGCTGAGAAGCAGCAACACCAAACACTGAAGAAAGGAGATCAAAAAATATAAAAATACTATCCTGATGTGAGATTGTCCATCCCTGATGCAAGCCTACTCTCAGCCTATTCCCTCATAATTAAGAACAGGTTTAGACTGCTACCAGCTACAATATCTCACTGGTGGACAATTAGCAATGAAAGCAGCAGAAACATAAACATGAATCAAAGCCTTCTGTCTTTGCTCTACTTTCCCCAAATCCTCTATTTTCCTTTTTAATTACAGCACATTATGGAAACAGCAATAAAATTCCCAGCTCAATAGGCTATACAGGTTTCTTTCTTTCGTTGAACTGGTGTTTTTAATTTAGACTCCTGTAAGAAATCCTAATAGTAGGTCACAGATCTGAGAGTCATCAAGTAAACACAAAGCTCTGAAGAAAATAATTTACAGCCCATCTATTATTACAGTTGTGTAAGTTCCAGTTCTGCAAGAAACTGAAACATCATCAGCATTTTCCCCATGAATCATGTAAGAGCCATCCCTGCAAACATCTACTCATTTTAACCATAATCTACTTACAACAAATCATAGTTTCTCTCTTCTTAACCATAAAAATGCAACAAGTAGCATCATAGCTTAGACATCATTCTGATTACATGATTTACTCTGCCAAGCTGTTTATTATGGAATATTTATGTACAATTCACAGCACATGAAGATAGGCAGCAGAACAGTTAAGATTATTTATGCCATCTACTCCATATTTTGTCAGTCTGAAATTTTCTCCAATTATCTATCCAGTCTCATTTGATTCAATGTTAACTGAAATTAGACCAAAACACCAAACATCCATCTTTTATAAAACTAGTTTTAGATTTGGATTCAACAGTGAAAATTTTCAAAGTGGAGAGGGGGCAAGGGGGTTAAAGGTGTGTGCTTTGGGTTTTTGCTCATTGTTAGTTTTGGAGTTTTTTTAGTAACACAGTGGCTGTGAAAACATAAGAAAAATATTTCTATATCATTTAGACTTTAATTATGATGATAAACTTCTTCTGAGATGTGCTTGCTATCTGTCGTTTCTTATTGTTCCCTTCCAAAATGACAGAGGCCTAACTTTTGTAAATAGGTAAAAGTGATGGATACTGTGAACTGCTGGGTAATTTTGCTCTAATACAAAATTTGACGTTTTCTTGATTTCCTTGAAAAATGTAGAGAGAAACTGAAATTTACTGAGGAGTTGAAATCCCATTAGAAATTATATTAGTTGATCAGCAGAATTCTATCTAATGTTGCAAAATTGCAAAACCTCTTGCAAATGCTTTCAGAGTGGGGAAAGAAGATACAGTGTGAAGACAGAGGTAATAATTACCAAAAGGAGAGTAATTAAAATAGCTCTGAGCCTGTTTGAAGTACGAATACATTGGCCAGAACAGGTGCACTAGGGCAGATTCATTCTAATAAGGGTTAATAAATGGGGCAGAGAGGAGGGAGGGAGCCTGGAAGGAAAGCTCAGCACTGACATGAAAAATCTGCTGTTGGAGAGAAGGTAATTGAAGGGTTAGGTGTACAGTGAAGCTCTGATTTATGAGCACGAACTCAATAAATATAAATTCCAGCATCTAGTCTAAGTGTAATCAGGTCTTTAGTCCCAAGGAGGCACAGTATGTCCTAGAACATTTAGTAAATTATACTCACTTGACTCATAACCAAGAGACAGAAAAAGTTACTTTAAAAAACATTTGCCATCCACCTCTCAGCTGTTTTATGTGATAGACTCCTCCACATAGGGGGCAGCCAGGGTCTGTCCCACTACAGAGCATCCACCATCTCTGAATATTCACAGAGTTTTGTACATAGCACCAATTCACCACGTCAGGCTGGTCCATGCCAGGCTTTCCAAGTGTGTCATTTAGATTTTTGCCTCAAAAGGGAGGGAGAGTTAAAATGAAAGAGTGAATGAATGAATGAATGAATGAATGAATAAAGTTCATGGGAGATTAAAGGTTCCACAGAATTTCTGAAAAGTAGCTCTGCTGAAAAATTTCCTTTTCTCATCTGCATATTGCCTGTATGCTGCTCTCAAGACAGATTTTATTGGCAGTGTACAGAAATGCACATACTGATGCAAATATCAGGGCATTTCCTATTTCAGGTCTTAGATGCTAGAGATGCTATAGCAAGGTAAAAATAAAAATTCCAGAAGATTTAATTCAAGTACAACCTGTGCCACAGACAGTGCACTACAACAGATACGTCTTCTACTCTTTATGCCTCAGTTTGTCCATCAACTAATTAAAATCAAAACCAAATAACCTCTTACCAACCAAAATAGGAAAAATATCCACTAATATTTTCAAGCTGAACATGATTCTCTGAGGACACAGGCTTAGCTTTTAGATGTATTTTCTTTGTGTAGTGACTATTAAGCTTATTGATTTTAGTGCACTGATTTTAGTGATTTTTAGGCTTATTCATTTAAGGCTACCACTGGCTTCTATTGTGATACCAATTCAAAGCCAATACAACTAAGGGAGGTAAATTAAAGTGAGTTTCTTTTTCACGCTAAATCAATATGGCTCTTTGCTTTCAGGCAATGGAGTGGCACTGGTGTACCACTGCTGTTGCTTTTACTAGCAAAAAAAGTACCTTTTCAGAGTATCACAGTTCTTAAGTTTCTTCTAAATCTCTACTGCATTGATGGCAATAAATATTAGCCACAGAAGAACTATTGAAAATTAACACTGGGCAACCTGTGGATTTCATACAGCTAGCTAAATGCACCTGAACCGTTTTGTAACCTGTAACCATTTTGTCTGCATTCAGCTTTTAACATAAACAAAAATTAGATGAAATTAGGAGAAAAGCTCATAGCTGTTCAAGCAATGTACACATATCTTTAGAGGGCCTAAATCTAGGGCAGTATGCCTTTGTAACAGGTGGAAGCCAGAGAAAAGGTTCAGCTGGAACATTCAAAGAAACAGCAGGACAATGAACCTTCTTTTACTTCTAAACTGAGCACATATTTTGAGGAATAAGAGACATGGAAACTTTAAAGCCCTTCTGGCTTCTTTTCAGAGCACAGCTCTGAAGTTTGAAGTTTCCTCCTGAGAACCTATACTCAGAAAATATGATGTGGCCCGGGGTGGCAAGTCACCCTGCCAGACACTGCGGGGTTATTCTGTGACTGTCACAACAGATCTCTTGCTGACACAGCTCTGCTTTTCTGAGGGATATTTAAGGCAGCCCCACAGACTGTTGCTGCCCAATTTGTAGCCCCATCCTGAGCACCAGCAGGAGAAGAAAACCTGATTGATTCTCCAAGACCCTCTTTGGAACTTCATCATACAATCCCGCTTTGCAGGGAAGAAAAAGTGAGAGAAAAGGAGAACCCCCACACTGCAAACCTCACAGACCTTCCTGCTCACTCCTCCTCATCAAATTCCATACTACTATTAACATTTTGACTTATCAATAAAATCATTGAACAGTTTGGGTCGGAAGGAACCTTAAAGATCATCTCATTCCAACCCCTCTGCCCCTCTCTGTCTCCTGAGAAAAAACTCCTGTGGTCTTCCAGCTGTCCTGCTCTGTGACCAGATCCTGCATCCACCTCGATCCATCCCTGCCTCTCTCCAGCCAGCCTCTGCACCCCAGCTGCCCTTGGGATGGCAAACCTGAATGTTGCTGACCCTACTGAAAATCCTTGTGCCAACTCTGGCTTCTTCCTTTCTACATTTCTTTAAAAAGTAAATAACTGTATGTATTTCTTTAACTAAGTCTCTTTAGGTCGAAGTACAGCTGCAGTAGACAATGCATTTACAACAATCTGAAAATACAGCTACCACAAATATTTTAGTTTTTGCCTCACAGCAACACTAATGTAGTTGATTTTACATCTATGTATTCATTGATACACCAAGTAGAAAGAATTCTCTCTCAGAGAAAATAATATTAAAATTTAGACTAATTAAATTACTGCAGGCTTACAAATCTTTCTCTCCACACTATTTAAATGAAAGGAAGAGAAGACAAAGATACAGAGAAACCTGCATTTTACAGAAGGCAAATGGAACATGAAAGAGTAGAAGTCCTTACACTGTAGTTGTTCTCGAGCCAGCTCTTTACATTTTTGCAGATAAGCATTGCCTCCTGGACCACAGGAGAGACCACCTGTACTTGCATCAGCTGCAGGTCTGCTCTCTGACTTCTGTGCTAAGCCAGACTGCCTTCACAATTGTACCAGCATAACTGCTAACTTTATTGGAAACACATTTTTGTAGCCAAGCATACTAGTGGCCCTACTGAATTTATTTTTCCTTCATGAGAGAAATATTTCTTTTTATTCCCTCAAGTCTTTTTCCAAAGCTATTTTGTTTTCAC